TCCCCCCTCGCCCCCCTCGTCGTATGGCGAGAGGTGCCCCCGTTGCCGATGGAGGTGGGGGAGGTAGCCGGAGGGGGCTTGCCCTGTATTTGCAACACCTTTTGCCTTTGCTCCGGCGCTTCCCCGGGCAGGTCGAGGCGACGGGAACGCTGCCGTGTGTAGACGCGGGGAGTGGAGCCCTGTGCTCCTTTCCACCCGTACCCACACCCACAGCCTCCATCTGGGCCCCGAAAGGGACGCGCTGGGCTCCCCTTTTTGATTTGCAAGACCTGAATTCGAGCTAAGGTTGTTAGCTCCGTGTGTTATTCCCACCCCCACCCCCACCCCCCTTCCCTTCCTTTCCCCAAGTGCCATTGTCGCATCGCCTGGAGCTGCCGAGCCGCACTCAGCCCCTGCTGCCGGGCGAGGGGCCCGGGGGGAGCCCCCGCTCGCTGCAGCCCCTCCGCCGGCGCCGCCGAAGGAGGATTTTGCCTGCGGATGCAACCAATTAATCCCGCAGCTCGGCGGGGGCAGCGCGGAGCCGCCCGCAGCCTTTTCCCTGCCTCCCTCGGAAGTCACGATTGAGAAGCAGGGCTGTCCGTGGAGCTCAATTTAAAGCGAGCTTCCGCGGGCTTTAAACGTGTTTACTTCCCATTCATTTGGCATCAGCCCCACTGCCACGAGAGCCTTCGCGGGGCTCGAAACATGGAGAGAGCTGAGCAGCAGAGCCCCGAGCCGGGAGAAGCCCGACTGCTTTGCTTCCTTCCCCTCCCCCGCACCGATATAGTCCTGTAAATTGCACAGAAAATACTTTTTGGAGAGCCGTAAAATCAGAGCCCCTCGTTCCCTCGCTCTGCCCTTGGTGACATTCCATCGGTTCGGTGACTGCGGGCTCTGTCCCCCTTGTGCTTCACCCCCTGATTACCCTCGACCAGCCCCAGCAGCCGGCACCCACCGACTCTGCTGGCTTGTGCCAATGCTTCCTTTTTTCTTTTTCAATTTTTTTTTCTTTCTATATTTTTTAAATTTTTTTTTTTTTTTAGTTTTTCCTTATTTTTTTTCCTCGTGTAGCATTTGAATGTATGGAAGTGAAAGAAAACCGCGTCTCCTTCAACGTGCTCAGCCCAGATGTGCAGTGCCTGCGGGGCTCGCCACTGAGCTGCAGCACTTGGGGAGTCCCCCCGCCAGCCTCCCCTTAAACTGCCCGGGAATTATGAAAGCTGAAGGAGTTTAAACTGGTTTAAGTTAACAAACTGTACTTAATTAGTTCTACCACATCCTGTAATCTGAATGAAATCTATAATATTCAAGACTAGAAGAGTTTTATGGTGTTTATGATTCACTGAATAAATATTTGGAATCTGAACTCTTAGTAATTCATACCCAGTTTTAAGGGCTGGTTATTTACTGGCAGGCAAAGGAACTAGTTAAGAAAACAGCTAAAATAATCAGTATCGACTCATTTTCAAGTTAGGGTTTTGTTTCAGATTTTTCTTTGCTCGAGTTTTTTTGGCTTACTAGTGTTCTATTTGAAGAGACATTTACATTTGCATGTTAATACAAATAAATTTTCTTTAGAATAGGTGTGAATATAGTGCCTACTGCAAAACAACAGAAAAAATTGCCCCCTTGAGAGAGAAGTAGTCTCATCTTACTTTGCAATATTCTGGTACTTAACTTCTTTTCCACAAAAAGTTTGTGCTGGAAGCTACATGTGATAATTGTATCTTGCTATAATGAAATGCAGTTGAAATTAAATGGGTAACTGTTATTTTTTACATAACTGCTCTTATATGAGGGAAATCACAGCCATCTTTAAAAAATGTGTTTCCTGCTATAACTTATGTGTTAGAATATACATACTTTTACAAGTTTTTTAATGCAACTGCAAGAGAAATTAAACTCCTTTATTATGCAAAATTTATTTTTTCCGTTACCTGGAGTTGCTAAATTTTTCATGTTGCACTATTACTATTATGTTATTTAATGAAACTGTTATTTCATATGCTGAAAGCAACTTTTCGGTTTAGTTTATTCTTTAGATCATCTGGGTTAGTTGTAGCCTTTTGCCACAACCGCATGTCTTCCTGTATTTAGGAACCAACTGGTGAACCATCTCCTAAAAGACCAAGAGGAAGACCCAAAGGAAGCAAAAACAAGAGTCCCTCTAAAGCAGCTCAGAAGGTGAGATTATTAAAGAGAAAGAATTACTTTTGCTGTTTTTTCATCAGCTACTAGCAAAAAATCCAATAATTTAGGCTGTGAAGTGTGGGATTGGAACTCTTTTAATAATGCTACATAAAGCATGAATTTCACATTTTTAAAATTAGAATTAACATGAAGACCTTAAGTACAGAACCCATAAGGACTTTCTTTTTTAGTAGTCTACAGATTAATGAAATAAGAATGTATTTCACGAGAAACCATGAAATGTCCTGTATCTAGTAGGGAAGTCAATATTAAGGATATTATTTTCTTCATTAAGATTTTTGTAAGAGGAAGATTAATTTCTTGCCCACTTACAGTTGTTGCTACTACAGACCAAATCTGTATATTGAAGTTAAGTGCTTTGTCAAACATAAGTTAATTAGAAGTAAATCCAATTATGTGTTGATGGAAATAGTGCATATATTGAAATTTACAGCTTTAAAATGTGATGGTAAAGTAAACTTTGAGTAAAAGCCTGTTATATCTTGTTTAGTAATCAGTTTCAAAGAGACTTTTACTGGAAGTGCTTTAGTCTTCTGAACCACTATTTCTGCTTGGTGATGAGACCAAACTTTTATTGTGGTGGTTCTGATTGCCTTTATCTACAGGAGAAGCTCCCTGAAGACACTGCATTTAGTGCATGGGCTTTACATCACAGATACAACATGAAAATTTGACTACATTTTATTTAAATTGGGGAAAGCACAGCATTAAAAAGCTATGTTATCAAGGCAAATCATGCATACCCTTCTGTAGGAAATATTTTAGTAAAGGCACATAGTTGTCTATGGGCTTGAAAACAAATATGGGAGATTTGTTTATGTTGTTGGTTATACAGCAGTTAGCACTGGTTTACAGGTGCTAAATCAGAAACAAAAGCTTGGGAAATCTGGTAGTGAACTGTAGTACTAAAGTGTATCAGTATCTTTTAAGGACGTATGTGACAAAATGTGTGGAAGGTATTTGTGTCTTCATCTAATTGTGGTTATGGTACTGACCATATTAAGTTTGATAGTTTTCAGTGTTATAAACTACTATAGCAACTACTGATAAATATTAAATCATTAAAAGGTGACTATGGTTTCATGTCTGTTTTGTTTAAAGTGTTCTCAACATTTGTTTGAGGTACTTTTCCAACTGTCTTTAAATTCAAAATTGGTTTGGTTTTTGGTTGTTTTTTTGTTTTTTTTTTTTTACTTTATGGGCTGGAAAAAAAGCAGCATGTTCTGTCAAGAAATCCATGAATTAGTGAAAAATGCTTTACAGGTTAAGTATTAAAATCCTTTCAAAGCCATTCTGCAAGGTAATGTGCTTAAAATGTTAATTCTTTTTCTTTATGCACTAAAAACATCCCTCAGATTCATGTTAAAATAGTTTATATGTCACTCTTCAAAAAAGAGAGAGCAGTTTTTTATTAGTTTAGCAAATCCAAATGTGAGCTTTAGTATTTTAAATATTACTCCTAAGAGTGTTGGCTTTCCTAGGAGAAACATTTGTACTAAGATTAAATTTTAAGTAATTTGTAGAAATGCGTTTTTAAAAGATGCTTCTAAAAGAAATATTGACATTAGTTAATTTACATAAGTGATTTGGAAATCAGTATAAATGGAAAATAATTTTAAAACATTCATATATGTGTAGGTTTATTAAATCAAAAAGTTTTCCAGATGATTCTGGTACATAGTTATGCTTTCTTAATCTAATTTACAAATTGAGTAATTTTATTATAACATTTTGATTTTCAGAATGCAGCAAGATACTGCTCTAATTAAAGCTTTTGGGTGTTGTTAATGTAAAAAATTGACCAAAGACCACGTCATTTTTTATAATAAAAAAACCCTTTGAGTTGTATGTAATTACAAGTCTTACTGGTTTCTAGGTTTATAGATAAAGTATATAAATGTTTGATAAATCCTCTAAAACACAAAACACTTATAAAGCCTTACTAGAAGAAAGAGGCTGGTATCACATTTCAAATAAATATTTTAGCCCTTTTTCCAAATTGATAATTAGCCCTCTCTAAAATGGTTCAGCTTCTTACCAGGTATCTCAAAGTATCTCTTAATGTAATATTATTTCCATTAGTTTTTCTAACTGTAATAATGATGGGAAAGTTTTAGCACTGTAAGAAAGCTTCATGTGGTGTTGAGGGTATCACCTCTAAGAGGAGTGAGCTATATGTTTAATTCTGTGGTACACTTATTTACGCATACATGTGCTTACATACATTTATTAAAGCTCTCTCCAGCCTGTCCCAACTCCCAGAAAGAGAACTGGCTATCTTAGCTTAAGCCCCTCTACAAGTGAACATGGGTACTATACACCCAGCTGGAATTTGCTGGAATTTCTAAAGAATAGTGCGTGCCCTCTGTGTTTCAAAGGGAGCTCATTGAAATGCTTTAGAGTGTTCACAACATGTTAGATAAACGTCGACCAGGAGAACCCACCGAGCAGCCATGAGAAGGCACTCATGATTAATTGATTGGGTGTTCTCTTGCAAAGCATTACACATCACAATTAAAAATGTATTGCACAAACTGGCAGTGAGTTAAAAATACTCCAGAACTGGGGCTTTGTTTTGTTATACTTCAAAAAGGAAATACCCTTAAATCGCTTGATGGATTTTCCCTGGAATTGTGGTTGTGTTGTATATTTAAAATTACTTGGTGCACAGTTTTTTTTTTAATTTTTGCTGGAGTTTTTTTTTTTTTTTTTTTAAACTCTAAGAGCTTGTGTTTGGTCTTAGTAAACTGGCCTTGGGGCATCTGAAAACAAACTGTGCTTGTTATGAAATTAGCAATGTGAAACTTGACAATGCATACAGAATGTTGCAAAACTAACTGAACAGCTAATAATGTGGCAATTACTCTAATTTTGGGTAATATGCTTTTTTTCTTTTCCTTAAAGCCTTGCATATCACATGTGCCTAAGTTTTTATAAACTAGACACAAAAACTTCTATGAAAGTGTGTTTTACAGAAGACCAAACCATTTCTCAATTGTTTAATTTTCACAAACAGGAGGAACACAATGTGTTACCATATAGATAAGAAGAGGTAGAGACAAAATACTCCTGATCACCTTGCACTTGAGTCCCCACAATTAGGTGGTTATTATGCAGTCTACATCTTTAAAAAAGTTATTCTGTTATTCATTTAAAATATTTGAAAAAAACCAGCAAAATGTGAATTGGGTTTTGGGTTTTTTTCTCCCTAAAGCACAACCATATTTTTCAGGAAGATCATAGTGGGGAATATTCCTTTTTAATTTCATGGGTGTTCTGCAGTTGAGTTTTCCTTTTAGTGGTGAGCTGTGTTACCAGCCCATCACATTTCCCTTTCTAGGGTGCTTTTTTTTGTTGTCGTTGTTGGGGTTTTTTGGGGTTTTTTTAGCTCCTGTAGTTTGGCTTGACAAAAATACTGTAATACTATATAGATACAAATTATTTCCTGTTTGGGAGCGGGAAACACATTTGTGACATTAGAAAAAGGAATAGTGTATAACTGTCTTTAAAGAAATCATCAAGGGATGTCCCAGGAATATACAATGGTAAAAAGTCTTTAATAAAATTTACCTTCAGCTAAAATATGTTGAGTTTTGTTGTAGTTATTGGTGTAGTGAGTTTCACTGAAAATGCCTACAGAGCTTGATGCATCATCCTCTGAAAACTAGAGCTTGTGATCCTGTGTGTGACTGTACTTGCTGCTGTCACTACGTTACATGGCCAGGTTTGGTATGTAGAAAGGCATGTCTCTGGGTTAAGCAGTCCAAAGGTAAAAGAAAAAAAAAAAACAACAACAAAAAACAAACCAGAAAAGTTCATGTGATCAGGACTCTGCCCTGAATTGGTTCATGAAAGTTGGCTTCTCCATGCTTCATTCATTTTCACCAACACCAGTCATTGCAAGCTTAAAGGGAAAACAAGATAAAGTTTATCAAGTGATTGTAGCGTGGTTATTGCACTGAAAAAATGAGAGACCTCAAAATCAGATGTTTTGACCAAGATAGGAAAAGCAGAAGGCTGACTTTTGTTTAGAATTAAAATGGATAAAACAGGACACGGAAAGTGTGATGGTTTTGTACTTAGTCAATGCCTAAGGTTTTTTTTAGGAGTGTTTTTTGACTAAATAACTGTGTGGTTTTTTGAGATGGACACATTCCTGGGCAAGGTCTTTTGACTCTGTTTGACAGCAGTGATATTCATCCTGAGAACTATCACTTACTTTACCTAACTTACAGCTCTGACACATTTTGTCTGAGATCTCCAGCAGATCATTTTGCAAAGTACATAGAGTTCTTAAAATTTGGATTCTGTTGCATTTGAGGTCTTCTTGACAATACATAGGTGCCCAAAGAGCACTTTATAGCCGTTCAATTATTTCTGTTTGTCTTGTCTTGTTCATTACTTCCAGCAGTACAGCCTTGGTTTCTGTCTGGGTACAGTGCATTTTTGCAATAAGGAGGCAGAGATCTTGGGCAGTCAAGTCCTAGAGCTGCTGAGAGAAGCTGTTTGGAAGCAGGGTTTGATGACCTTGTGGTACAGGGCTTAAGTGGACTGCAAATCTTCCTAGGGACTGTTAGCTCACTTCCAGATAGCAGTGACTGAAATGGTGATCCTTCCTCACCTGTGATAAATAAAAAACATTTCCCATATAGTTCATGCTTTAAAATGTGAGTAAATTTAGTTCTGTTCCTCGCATGTGACATTGCAAAAATGGTGTGTTCATATTATTGTTTATAAGATGTTTCATATTTTTAGTGAAATACTCCTTGTGTTTGATAACATACCTGATCCTTTTTTAAGTTTAGTGATTTCACGTCTTAGCTGCAAAAAGCAAGGTCACACCTCATAGCATAGTAGCGCCAAATGTTAAAAACCCCCTGACCACACACCACCTCTGGGTGGCCTAGAGCTCTGTCAGGATTTGTCCCTAGCTTCAGAGACGACTCTTCAATTGAAGCCAGGAGCCAACAGACTGCAGTGTTGCTGATGATGCAAAAACCTGGTCAGGGGAAAGGCAATGTTTTAGTGCTTTCATGGAGAAACCATGTATTATCTATCTGATACACAGTGAAACATTCCTGCAAGGAATTAAGTTGTTGGAGAAAATACAGGCTGTATTTTAGCAAAAGTCAGGCTAAAAAAAGAGGGAAAGAGGTGGAATATTTTCCTAAACTTCATGTATTTATTGTTACCACTGTGCTGCTTCTACTCCTTTTGTTTGTTCTAACAGTGTTTTGTCTTTCTCTTCTCCTGAAAAGGAGATTAAAACTTCCACTTTGGAGGTTCTTGTCATTCATTTTCTGCAGTTTAATCTGTGAAAACCTTGCTATTTACTTACAGAATCTCTCTGTACCAAAACATCACCTCTGGCATGCCTGGCTGTTTGCTCAGCTCACCTCTGGGAAAGATTTGGTTTTGATAAGAACTATGGAAATGTTTTTCTTCTAACATGAGGTGGAAGTCATATACTGCAGGAATATAGTGCCTTTTAGTCTGCAAGGTCCCCAAGCACTTGACAAACCATTACCCAAACTAGCCAGCAGGAACACCAGCCACTTCTGATGTGGACCTTTGGTGGTGGTAGAGCTCAGCACTGCTCATGGGAAGTGGCCACACTGTGTGACAGTTTGTGGCAGGAAGCAAAGATTAGTTATTCAAAGAAATCTCTCATGTTCATTATAATTGGTAGTTAAAATTTATGTCAGGTTTGTGCAGACTTTAATTATTAGACCAGAGTAGTTTCTGTTTTCAAAAGGTTAATTATTTTTAATAGAATTTTGGAAAAGGATCTTTTCTTCAGATGCATTGATACACAGAAGAAAATAAATAGCCTTAGTGCTCTGATAACATGTCAAGTGTTGATTTGTTAAGACCAATTATAACCAATAATTTCTTTTTAAGATTTATGCCCTGTGTTTCACGGAGTAAATGTGGAAGCAGGGGGCTACAGTTTATCAACACTAAACCGTATCTGTTTGTCTGCATCCTTCAGGTTACAAGGTATAAAGATATTGAATGCTTAAAGGAAACAAAACTCTGAAATAGACAGCTACAGGATATAGTAAATGCACTTTAACAAGTATTCTCTTAAGAGGGTTTCACCTTACATGTAACACCAGTATAAACGATTAAAGCTCAAGTTTACTCTTTTAACAAGTCTGAGTGATAATTTTGCCCTTTAGGAGTGTGAATTTTATTTTTCACAGCTTTCTTATTGCAAGGTATTTATTTCAAAGTAATTGCATTTAACTCACAGGGCAGGTTTTTTTGTAGAGATTCCTCCATTAGTTTCTCAGCTCAAGTTCTCTTTTAGAGAGATCCGATTTACACAGCATTAGGTTACAGTATATGTTACCGTGATTGACCAGCAAGTGATTTATTTAATGGCACAGTTGATTTCTAAGGGCAAATCAAATACACGTACAGGTAACTGGGGGAAAAAACCAAAGCAACACAATTCATGTGTATTAAAACTTGGTGACTTTGTATCTAGCAAGTCCTGCCCTGACTACAGGTAGTGGCAAAATCCTGAGTGGAACAGGATTGTTTACCTGGTGAAGTGTATGGATGGGCATAGCCTAGCTGGAGAGAATAACCTGACTTTTCATTTTAAACTCTGTAAGTTTTTTAGTGTACTGCATAAGTACTGTTATTAGTAGTAGTATTCACAATGTCATGCAGTGGAATTAGTGGAAGAGCCTATAAAAGAACACATATTTCGTTTAAGCTAAGCTCCGGGAGCAACTGCTGGGCTTACATAAATATAGCTGTCACTTTTAGGGCCTCTTCCACATTGTTTCCTTAAACCTGGAAAGGGAAGGTGTGTTTTGGGCCATAATAGGTTTACTTATTAGAGCTTAAAGATGTGTGTTTGCCTGGAAAACTTAATGTGAAAAGTTGAGAAATTGTTTCCCAATAAGAGCACGGACATGTTCATGATGATATTCTGTCCTAATTAATTTCTTGCATGAACATAGTGAGACTAAAAAAGGAATTGTAGCTGCTGTAAACTGCTTTGATCCAACTTGAAACAGGCTGTATTTTTAATTTAGTATCTTCAAGTACTTTTTAATGGCCCATGGAAGACTAGATTTGATGTTATTGGAGGTTCTCAGGTTTCCCAGTTGCTCTGAGCCTGCATGTGAGTGGCTGGTCAGGGCTCTGCTGAGGACCCTGAGCAGCTGGGACTGTGTGGGTACAATCCTCCATGCCCCTGGACACAGTGTGGATCAGGGATGGGGACACCCTCGGGTGCAGGTGAGGCACTCTGGCTAGGAAACGTCAGAAAAAGCAGCATAATCACCAATCTGTGTGAGAAAGCACACAGATTAGCTGGGGGGCCTGGTGCCACCCAAGAGGTATAATTGTAGCTAATGTTACAGGAAAGGATTCCTGGTTACTGAGGCTGTTAAGTAATGCTGTGGTATAAAATATGTTGTGTTTCTTTTACAGAAAGCAGAAGCCACTGGTGAAAAGCGACCTAGAGGCCGGCCCAGAAAATGGGTAGGTATTTCACTTCCAGATTTATTTGCTGTGTTATAAAGCATGTTAAAAAGTCCATTCCTTTAGAGAACAGTAATTTCATTTGTAAAAAAAAGCATCTATCTTCTGTGTCTTTTTGTTCTGGTGGATTGACTAAAGAGTTAAGAGAGCAAAGAGGTTGATCACAGATCTACCTTTAGACTCTGGTAGTTTGCTCAAGATACTTTACAATTGAATGTTTGCTTCAAGTGAATATTTATGTGTATCTTATCAGCATGAAAAGAGCCTCAACTCCTCCTTCAAAAGAGAGTAACAATGAAATAACTTGTTTAGTAACTGAGTAACAAAGGTTAAAGGGGCAATATCAGACATCAGAGGGTGATAAGACTCAGATGAAGGGTGCGGGAGATAAAGTTTAGAAGCCAAAATGCTTTTGTACTACATTGCCTGGAAACATGCATATTTTCCTTAAATCCAGTGAGAAAGAGCACAGATGAACAGCAGGATACTTGCACTTAGAACTTAGTTTTTCCATTCACAGTCATTTTCATGCCTCATATATTTGTAGTGACTGGTAATATATTTCATTAAAAGTTTCTGCTTTTCCTGACCCATTTAGTCTTTAGATGTGTCTATCAGACGTGTGTTTTTATTCTTCAGTTATGAAAGTATTTCAGTCTTAGGTACTTGAAATTTCGTGCTCTCACTGATGTTTACAGCTGATGAGGGTCTGCCTGGTGCACCTCTCATCTGCATGTTTTTCACTTGTGCATGGGCTTTCATATGGATTGCCTCTGGAAAAATGGGATTGAGTATTAGAAGATATAAAGGTGTGGCAGTGCGCTTAATCACAAGTTAACATCTCTGATTTCCCTTCTCCAATTCCCTTTCCCTGCTCAACAATTTTCTTTAAACTTTTTTTTTTTTCAAATCCATGCCCAACATCTCAATTTGAACCCCTTATTTCACTCTGTAATCTCTTTCCTCATGTCAGTCCTGTCATTATCTCCCCCATTTTGTTCTGTTGTTTTGCATAGCTGTTAAAAGGGTTGTAAAAGTATATGCTTGCAAAAGCTCAAGCAGCACCAGAAGGTACTGAAAACTACAGCTAAGGTTCCCCTGAGTATCAGCCACTAAACACAGGAAAGCTGCCTTTAGCAGTCACTTTAAGAGCTGGTTCTATTGCACTGTCCAGTGAAGGCACCACAGGATATTTCTTTGGAAAAAACAGACCACTGCGTACTAGACGAGTGGTTTGTAGCTGTAGCTTTTAAGTCAGGCACATGAGTAATTTTCACATTTCACATTTTCAGGTACATGAGGAAGCTCAATGGCATTTTAAAAAAAGGTGGCTTTTTGAAACATATCTATGCTGGTGATTTTCTCCCAAGCAGCCTGGGGAAGGAAAATGTCAAGTGCGGTAAAGCGTGGGTCAGTTTCTGTCTGCTTCCTCCCATCTGGCTGGAACCTCGCGTATCTGAGCACTGAGTGTTGCTTGCTTGATCCTCACCTTGGGTACAATCCCTGGGAAACAGCAAAAATACCTGGTTTATGAGAGTAATTAATTTATAACAGTCAAGCCATCCCCTCCGAGTTAAGAATGTGTGACAGGTGAATAGGGATGGTTGAAGAATTTGGGGAAAAGGCAGCAGCCTGAAATGTAAAAAATATTTTCTCTTCCAAGTACTCATAGTCAGAAACTGAGTGTTCAGTGGAAAGGGCACTTCTGCCATCTTGTAGGCTAGAATGTTTCCCTTCTATGTCTGTATTTTTATGGGGAAGAAAGAATGGGCAGTATCAGTGGAGCATTCTGAATGGAACGGGCTATTTGTCAGGTCAAGAATCTAATTTTCAGAAATGGGAATTACCGAAATGGGTTGTATCCATTAGTTTATTTTGAGACCAATATTTTAAACAGTTTCACTCATGCTTTTGCTATTAATGCATATTTTGAAACGTGGTACTATTTTGCTGTTGTGCCTGTTGAAAGCACAGTCTTTTTATTTTCTTATTCCAATGATATGATTGCTTCTTGTAATTTTCAGAGATAATGCTCCAATCTGCAGCTTGCTTTGAGATAATTTTTCAGACTGTGAGAATCAAATATGCCATTTTTCCCCCTTCTCTTTTCTCTCTTTCCAGTTTAAATTAAGTTAATGGGGTTCCTTCTAGCTTGTAGTTGAAATGAGGGGAGGAGTCTGCCAGAAAGCAGGTAGTACAGCATCATCCTTTCTGTTTAGACCTCCAACATGCAGTCAGAAAATGTCCCTTTTTATCACCCATATTTCAGTTTAATCCTTAATGATTATATTCTTCCTTAATCCAATTTATTTATATGTCAAACCTTAATGATGATGGTTTAGTATCTGTGCAAGTAAGGAGCGTGCAGGGTGTTTTTCCTCAGAGAGGGCAGAATTCTACATTTTCATAAGTTTGTAACCCTTTTTTTTTGGGAGTCTAGAGATTCTGTGTCATATGTTGTTCATCAAATTGTAAAATATTATTTCTGCTGTTTCCTTCAATATGCACATGCAGAGACATACGAGCTAACAGACCACTGTAGAATTCCGGTAGCTGGTCTTTCTGCTGGTTCAAATTAAGTATTTAATGTTTGTGACTCACAGTGTATTTATTTATATATTATTTTTTAGAAGAGAAGTAAATCTTTTTTGACTAGTATAAAACTGAGAGGGGGAGGGAGAGCCCAAGTGAAGAGGGCAAGAAGCCCAGTTTATCACAAGCATATGAGCTATCAGGTGATCTTTTTAATGCAATAATGTGTACTTTGCAAAGTTGTCAAGGGAAAGAAGACCCTTGTCAATACAGCAGACGGTAAAGATTAAACAAAATCTTCTGAAAATAAAATATTCAGCTACATAAAAAAGCTTTCTAAATGTGGAGAGCTAATTGAATGAATGTCCTGAAGTTAACACGGTCAAGCAGGTGGGAAATGAACATAGTTGAAATCAGAAACACAGTACTTGATGCGGTGAAACTCACCTTCACTGTCGGTTGCTGCACACGTGTGAAACCCATTGAAGGCTGTGAGTCTATTAGCTATTAACCCTCTTCATGGGGGCCTCAGTACTCCTTGATTTTAGAGTTTTTTTTGCACAAACATATTCTAAGCTCCTTGGATGAATCTGCATTAGTATGTTAGGTCAAATCACGAGTATGCTTTGGAAATGCATCTCCTGGTTTTCCCCACTTACTGTATGCGTTGTGTAGCAGTCCCAGAGCTCATTGGTTGGACTCCTTTCAAATGAAACCAGATTGGAAGATGTGCTGCAGAAGTGCAGTCTGGTAGACATTCAACCCACAGGACTAGGCTAGAGTGAAATAAAAACCTCTTGAAAGGTGTGTGGTTTGGACCTTAGGTCCTCAGCACCATCCTGTGGTCCATATTGTAGACATAGCCTTTGATGCTTAAAAAAATGCTATAAAGCAACCTGGTTTTTATTAGCAGAATTATTTTATGTAGCACAGGCATAAAGTCAAATTTACATTCACAGGAGTCAGTGAAAGGTTTGTCATTAACTTCATCAGGGCCATGTGTTTGCCATTGAGGCCTGATGCTGCTGCTCATGGACTCAGCGACTGTTTTACTCATGGCTTCACATAGCCCTTTGTAGAGAGCTACCAAGGGGTTTTTATTTTATTTATTTAATTTGTGTATGCCTATAATTTAACTGAAAGGAAGGGACTGAAGGTTTATGAGTAGAACAGAGGACTAAGTAATCAATTGTTTTGCTGTTTGTTCCAAAGAACTGCATGGAAAAGCCCTGGAAATTTCATAGTCTTCTAGTGCTCTCAGGCATCAGTTTAAAGGAAGAATCTGAAATCCAGTTTTGAAGTTGATGCTGAAAAGGGTATTTAGTTTTTTTTCCATTTTTCCATTTTTTTTGTTCAGTCTTTAGGTAGAATTTTTTTTTGCATTTCCAAATTGTTTGACTTGAGCCATGGACTCTCTGCATGGCATGGCAGAGTTGTTCCAGAGAACAGTCCAGGGATTTTTACAGCCTTGAACAGGGCTTTGGTGAAGAGAAGAGATGGCTGATTCCATGTCATATAGCTGTTTTAAAAGATGGATAGATGCAATTCTAGAATTTGCATGACTGTAAGAGCAGAAGATAGTCGGTGACCTACTGACCAGGGACATGCAGGATGCACATGAAGCATCTGCTTGCACACCTCATCACTGAAGCCTAAGTAAGAACTGTGACTTGTTCAGAAAACTTGCAACAATTTTGTTTTTTGCTAGACAATATAGAGAGTACATTTCTGTTTGGTAGGAGATAAGAGATAATAAGAAATTAATTTCCTTAACCAGATTTTTAATTTGTACTAGTGATAATTATCTAGACAAGCTGAGAGGGTAGGGGCTGTTCAGCCTGGAGAAGGCTTCAGACAGACCGTAGGGTAGCCTCCCAGTAACCAAAGAGAGCTACAAGAAAAATGGAGATGGACTTTTTACAAGGACCTGTGGTGACAGAACAAGGGGAAATGGCTTTAAACTGGAAGAGACTGGTTTAGGTTAGATATTAAGAGGAAATTGCTTACTGAGAGGGTGGTGATACACTGGAACAGTTGTTCAGAGAAATTATGGATGTGGGAGTGCTCAAGGCCAAGGTGGATGGGGCTTTGAGCAACCTGGTTTGGTGGAAGGTGTCATGAAGGAAGGCTCATGACAGGGTGTTGGAACTAGGTGATCTTCCAGGTCCCTTCCAACCCAAACCATTTGATGATTATATTATTGATGACTATAGTACTTTTTTAATGAGGGCAGTGTTTCACTTTACACAGAATGCCAGTTTAAGCAGTGCCAAACCACATTTAAAAAAAATATTACAAAAATGCTTTTTTATAATATTGTTTTCTTCAGATTATTTCCCAGTGCAATTCTGACGTAGCTGAGATACAAAACCTTAAACATGGAATTGGTGAGATGTTTCTATGTCAGCAGTTCCTGTGTCAGGGCAAGGACTCCTAGTGCTCATTAAGATTTTGAAAATTAACTTCTT